ACTGTACTTACTTATACTCTAACGTCACATGTGAAGTGGGTTCCTTCTCGCTCACCAGCGCACTCTAGTATTCAGGCACTCTTAGGTTTAAATTTATTCACAATTTTTCACATCATCACACTTTATAGTTTCGTCACCTTCCAAGTGTCCGCCAGCGCAGCTCGATTCGGAGTCCTAATGGACATTCCGAGTTGGGGTGTGTCACTTTTTCTTTTCGAAACGAAAAATAAAAAACACCAATACAAAAAGAATATCCCACGCGCTATAAAAATATAAGAAAAATCTTTAGACTCTAGACATTCCGTGAGCTCGTCTCCATTTTCATGCAATTACCAAATCTCCCTTGGTGGGAATATAAAGCCTTTTTTAATACATGACCTTAGATTCAAAATATACAACACTTTCACATCATCTAGATTAAAGACTGAAAATTTTGATCACAAAAGGTAAGGCATGTGATAAAAGAAGAAGTTATTTTGTTGATCACAAAATGGTTTGGTAAAGTGACATGCAGACGACAAATCTCGCTTTAGGTCTGCTGTCTCCTAAAGTGTGTCTCATTTGTGTTTCTTTACTAATATGTTGACGCGTGTTCTTTAACTTAACTTAAAACTTAACTCTGTTAACTTTATTTATTTAATATTTAAATTTAAAAAAAATCCAAAATAATAAAAAACTGTTGGGTTTACGTGGTGAGCAAACCTAAATAGGATTCTTCACCTTCTTTTTTGGTTTGCTGCAACAATCGCTAGGATTAGAAAGAACAAGTTTGAACGGCGATTGGTCCTGCCTATCTTCAACCTCTCCACTTCTTGTGTATCCAAATACAAACTCTAAAAACAGTGTTTCATTTTCATCTTTGTAGGTCAGTTTGCGAGAATCTCAATTCTGAAGAAATAAGAACTAATCAAACTTTAGAGTGTGGAAGTCCGACCAGTTATTCGCATCATCTTCTTCCCACAGATCAAATTACCCTAGAAATAGAGTTTGATCTCGTTCTCTCTTCTTCTGGTCCCAATACCCTAGCTAGAAAACCTTCACTGCATATTCTCCACTCATTTTACTCTATTTTTTTGTGTGCATTATCTAAATTCAGTAAGATTAATTAACTAATTGATTAGATTTGAATTCCATCCGGATCCAAATTGTAGGGATTCTAGGGATCCTTACATCTTAGCCATTCATCGTACATCGTGCGCTCATAAATCATTTGACTTTTTTTATTTAAAATTAAACACAAATAGTACCTGACGAAAACTGGCCGCACGATGTACGATAAACGGCTAGGATGTAAGGATCCCTAGGATCCCCAGAAAGAGGATTTGGAGAGGATCCTCATCCACTTTGATTAGTCAGCCCATATTCATAGTCTCTAAATCCTAAAGCTTTATAGTAGATTGATTTATGAAATTAAAGTTAGCTAGCTTTGATGCTACTTGGCTTAATTTTTTTAGAAATTCTTAGAAACTAAGTTGTTACAAGATTAAACTTAAAAAAGTTGGGCAACCCGAACCCAACCCAAGTAAACCCTAACCCAATTAAACCTGAACCCGAAGTGTAAAAGTTAGGTCATTAAGTTAACCTTCCAACCCGCCCAACCCGTCCGAGTTGCATCCCTAGATAGTAATTCAGCTGTTATATATTTGAGGAAAGTAAAAAAAGGGGGAAATTCTCAATCATGTTGTTGTTGTGCAATGACTGAAAGGACTGAAATAAGCAAACAAACCATGCGTACGGAAGCAAAAAACATCACACACACACACACATGTGTAAAACCTATATATGTATATATGTGTGTGTGTGTGTGTGTGTGTGTGTGTGTGTGTATGTATATTTAATTATTTCATGCTTTCCAAGATTTATCAATCGAGATGCACTCTATATGTTAGTACTACTTGTTCATCTTGAAGGAAGTTCAGATAGAATGGATAGACGATTAATATGGATTATAGAAAGGCATCATATGGCTATATAAAGGCAATAGGGAAGGTAAGGGGCTGGAGGTGTTGACAGAAGAATAGAGAGCACAAAGGATGGAGATGCTGCCTTGTTCTTGCATTTCCTCATCTGTGCTCTCTATCTTCTGTCAGCAAATTCACCTATGCCTCCTCCATCTACAAATATATATATATATATATAGCAACAAAACTTAAAAATATTACCACTAATTGCAAGGCAAATGAAAGATAATGAAAGAACTTAAAAGTTGAGAGCCACAAAGACAATTTGGGTTGGGAGGGAGAGAGGGAGAGAGAGCTGATCTTGGGATGAACTTAGGGGTGGTTTGGGAGTGAGGTGCTTAAAAAAAAAGCACCCATGAAAAAAAGCTGTGAAGGTTTTAGGTGTTTGGTAAACTAAAAAAAAAGGGCTTATTTTGGAAGCTGCTGTGAGAATAAGCTAAAATCAAAGGAAAATGCTGAAGCTGCTATTTGCAGCTTTGGAAAACTGGTTTTTTTTCAAAGCACACGGAGCTACATTGCTCCTTTAATGAAAAGACCCACTATCAGACTGTTTTTTTTTTTCCTAAAGCACTTTTACAAAAAAGTTTATCAAACACTCTGTTGATTTATTTCACAGCCGCTTATTATCACAGCAGTTTTTTTTCAAAGCACAGCAATACCAAACCAGCCCTTAAACTTCCAATGCCACTATTTATAGGGAAGGAGTAAGGTCTAAGCATGCATGCATGTTGGCATGTCTTATCATGCATGAAGCCGTTTTCTGTGAGATGCATAAACGAATAAAATGTTCCCCAAATCACGATAATTGTGTGCGTTCCTGATGCCTCACGCAAATCGGGTGTAGTAGTCAAATGATATGGATTCATTCCAAAAGTATTAATTATAATTAATCGTGGATATACACCCAAAATTTGGGAATTAAAGTGCTTGTGGCAATGACTAAAATTTTCAAAATATTTCTTGCTTCTTTATGGAAACGTACACTTGCCAGGTACTTCTTTAAAAAATGCATTCGAATATTTAATCAAAACTTTGTCACAGTACTTTTTACTTAACTAAGTCATTAAGTTTCTGTCCTTAAGCATTCGTGGATGCTAACCAAGTCTGGATAGGGGCCATGTATTTACATCTGCATAGAGTAGCACCATGTTGGTGAACTTGTCACCAAAATATTAAATTATGGGTGGCGTCAGGGATTAGGCATGCAGGCATGCAAGTTGCCAGGAAGCATGGAGATTTGGAGACTCCCCGGCCACTCAGGCCTTATCTTAGAATACGTAGTCGGCTCATCTTCAAGGATATTTTGCATGATCAAATATCATTGGGCGGTGAATATCCACCTGTCATTACCCCCATAGCTTCCCCCTAATTATTCATCTTGTCACTAACTATATTACACTTTGACCTCACTCATTTTCTCAGTGCTAAAAGTCTTGTCATATTAATATCAACAAGGTTCCCACTCGACTCACTTTCAGTGCGCACAAAGAGTCTTGTTATTGCAAGTTTTAAGGCATACTATCGATCGATTCCATTTTAGGCATATCCTTAAGGCTAAGATTCTGCCATTCTATCACACTATATTACATACTTTCTTTGGTCCGGTTCAGTCCATAAACCATATGATCATAATCGTTTGTTCAATTCATTATCGAACAATAAACCTTTATCGTCGAACGCATAAGAAGGTGAAGAATCCTATTTGGGTTTGCTCACCTTGTTAACCCAATAGTTTTTTTATTATTTTGGATTTTTTTTAAATTTAAATGTTAAAAAAATAAAGTTAACAAGTTAAGTTTTAAATTAAGTGTCAACATATTAGTAAAGAGACATAAATGAAATACATTGACAGCAGACGTTGAGCCGACAAATCTAGAGCACGCCCACAGCCAACACCTAGGAAGATGAAAAGTAGCATTGTCTTTTTTGGCAAAAGGAGGGTTCTAACGTTCAATTCCTAAATTTGGAACATGCGTCGTGACATGGACCGCAGGGAATCTTGCATAAATGATCATATAATCGAGATTCCGTACACAGGGTGTTACATCACGTGTCACTAAATAAATGGTAAGATATGTGTACCAAAAAGTTAATAATTTAAAAAATAAAATTTTCCACCATTCCTATTAAAACACATGATGTGTTCCCGTTACAACTAAAAATTTCTCTCAAATATGGCTGTTGACTTCCCAATTATAGGAGCAGCGAATCCCGAAGGAAGTTTCGCATTGCTTTTTCTAATTAATACTCGCTATGATGTTTGTCACACAAGAAACTCACCATGCATTGCGCACGAGTGATGTTATATTTATTACCTAATTATACAACTATTTGTACCATTTATACCATATTTAAAAAAAAATAAAGTTCATCAACGCATGTGTGTCTATTTCTATTATTTCCATCAACGCAGTTTTTAGTTCACACCACAAAAATCAGGAGACACACGTAGGCACTTTAACCTTGATTATGGGTATTTATCATATACAGCTAAATTTTAACCCCTAATTTCATATACGTCAGTTTTTATAGAAAATTTCAAAACTTTCAAAAGTCAATGTGCACAAAAATAAAAGTCTCCATTATCCAACTATGTACCTTTTGTATGTCAAGGTTCGTGCATGTTAACATGGGTCCAATTACCATTTAGCATTATGTAGTGATATTCATCTTTATATGCAAGAGAGAGGTGTCAGTTCTCTCCAAAGGCGAATTTGAACCACATTATTGCTAATCCATTGTGAGGCTAAACCTACCCCACATTATTCTTCAAAAAAAAAAAAACATCGGTTCAGTCTTCAATGTACCAACAAAGTGCCCTATAAATTGGAGTAGGATTCTCTTCCCTCTTATTTTCATCCCCTTCCCTCTTCTCCTCTCACAGATTGCTTTTTGTTTTCTTCTGGTCATTAAAAAAATTAACACAAAACGTTGACGTGGCTAAACTGTGTATGTTCAAATAGGAGGAGAGGTAGAGTATGAGCTCCCTATAAATTTGCTTCAGTAGGCTGTCAGACGCGGCCATCAAACAATCAAAATATGGAGTTTTCTAAGACCCACTTGTTTGTTACTTGCCTTCTCTTTCTATCTTCTTCTTGTTTTGGTGATCAAGGATCCCCAAACAAACAGTCCACCAAGTTTGCTGATCAACATCGACTCTTGAAGCATTGGATCAAGAGGCAGGTTCTAAGCGGTCCAGATGCTGATCCTGCAATTTATGAATCAAAGAGACAGCAGGTTCATCGGAAACCTCACTCAACATACTTATTGGATAATTAAGCTATGGATGCTAACTATAACTCCATTAGTTTTGGCACTTTCTTTATTTTGTTATAGTCAATAAACAAGAGTCTATATGTTTCGTTTTCTCAGTTGTTTGTTTTGGTTTTGGCAGGTTCCTACGGGTCCAAATCTTCTACATAACTTCGCCCAACCGCCTGTGGAAGTGTTGGATGATCCTGCAAAGTATGAATCAAGGAGGCAGGTTCCTACCGGTCCAAATCCACAACCGCCTGTAGAAGTGTTGGATGATCCTGCAAAGTATGAATCAAGGAGGCAGGTTCCTACCGGTCCAAATCCTCTACAACCGCCTGTCGAAGTGTTGGATGATCCTGCAAAGTATGAATCAAAGAGGCAGGTTCCTACCGGTCCAAATCCTCGACAACCGCCTGTAGAAGTGTTGGATGATCCTGCAAAGTATGAATCAAAGAAGCCGGTTCCTACCGGTCCAAATCCTCTACAACCGCATGTAGAAGTGTTGGATGATCCTGCAAAGTATGAATCAAAGAGGCAGGTTCCTACCAGTCCAAGTCCTCTACAACCGCCTGTAGAAGTGTTGGATGATCCTGCAAAGTATGAATCAAAGAGGCAGTTTCCTACCGGTCCAAATCCTCTACATAACTTCGCCCAACCGCCTGTAGAAGTGTTGGATGATCTTCCAAATTATGATCTTATGAGGCTCGTGCCTTCTGGTCCAAATCATGAAGAGTCTCCTGACGAATCACCTTCAAAGGTATAGTCCGCCACCACCATCTTCACGTGCAAATTATGATCATATGAGGCTTGTGCCTTCTGGTCCAAATCATGCAGAGTCTCCTGAGGAACTGCCATCAGTTTCTTCGGCAGGGAAGCCAATGTTCATTGGAAACCTCACTCAAGACGCTTATTGGATAATTAAGCCATGGATGCTAGCTATAGCTCCATTAGTTTTGGCGCTTTCTTTATTTTGTTAGCAATAAACTACAGTCTATTTTTCGTTTTCTCAGTTGTTTGTTATGGTTTTTAGTTTGGTTCTGTAATCTGATCAGTTATCTGATCAGTTATCAAATCTCTGTACTGTTTTCTTTCAGCTTATGAGATAATCTATATACATACTATATATATCGCATGCAAGGCATTTTATATGTGGCAATCACTGACGGTAGAAAAGTTCAGTAAATTTCCAATTCATTGGGTCTATGCCAGACAATACCAGAAACCTAGGTATATCGACTCGAGCAAACTCTACATACAGAATGTCACAGTTCAAAGAATTTTTTTCACGGATATGGTTTTAGGGTTTTAGGGTTCAGGGCTCGTTTATAACGATATGGTTAGCATTTGGGTGCCCAGATCACTGCCTATACTAAAACCCAACCCTTGCTTTGGTTCTTTTATTTCAATCTGTCCTGTCTGTACAAATTATAATATACTGAATTTCTTTTTCTTTTTTTTCTTCCCCCTCTCTTCGCTCTCGCTCTTCGCTTTCTCGCTGCAGTACCTAAACTTCTCAAACCACAGACCAACCAAAACCGAACCCTTTCCTCAAACTCTTCTTTCTCCCTTCTCTCTCTCCTCTCTCTCTTCTCCCCGCGACTAACTGGTGCACAGTGGCGGCCGGCGAGAATTTTTTGATGATTCCGGCAACGACCGCCCTCGAAGTTGATCTCAGACGATTCCTCATCACATCAGGTAGCTTCTAGATCTATTGCATGTAAAAATCTGTTTCAATTTTCTGGATTTTGTAAATTTTTATGATTTGTAGAATTCTTTGTTTGAATTTCTAGGTTTTGGAGAATTCTTCACTGAACTTTTTTTTTTGGAAACTTCTTTTTATATATGAATTATTCATTTAGATTCTTCCATCTCATATGTCTAAATGATTTTAGGAATGATTTTATTAATTATTGTCTAATTTTTTTTCATATTTATTGTTGGTAAGTTTTTTTCTGATTTTCTTATCTTCTAATCTTTTTCTAACTTTCTTATCTTCTTGTTAACTTTTGATTAAGTCCAAACAACTTATTACATTTACGCTTGCACGCTACTGTACTTACACTGTTACACATGTCTTTGGGATCAACATACAGAAAAATAACAAGAAGTAAATAACTATAAAAGATGAGAAAACTTTGAATAATTCCAAATATTATCTGACCATTGTGACAGCCCGTCCCTAATTTTAAGAATTTTTAAAGTTTTAATAAAGGATTTTACAAAAATGCCCTTTGAGGTACGTGCATTATTCGAGGTTAATCATCATGTCGTGCCATCTAAGATTTGTTTTCTTGACATATCCTCGTAGTAATCGTCGTTACGGACGCGTGGGCGCAGACGGTTCGTGATTTGGAGTTATATCGAAGAAGTTATTAACGTTTGAAATTTGGAATTTTAAGGAATTATAATTTTAGTAAAATATAGAAATTCTTTTATAAAAATGGACGGCCCAGATTTAATGATGAATGAAATGGATGGCTGGGATGAGGGAAAGGTTTTTGGTGTGTGTATGTGTATGAGAAGAAGAAAAAGAAAACAGAAAGAAAGAGAGATTGGGCAAAACTGCCCAATCGGAGAAGAAGTAGGAGAGGCGAATCAGAAGAAGAGAGAGGGAGAAACTGACCAACCAGAGGAAGGAAAGGAGGGAAAGGAGGGAGAGTGGTGAACGGGGGAACAGGAGGAAACGGGTCACCCTTGACCCGCGCGTCCCATGCTTCCAAATCGGCGGGTTCTCGCCTTTTTCGTCCAATTTTCCGACGAATTGAATCAAGGTACCACTCCCAATCAACATCTAGACCTTCCCTCTTCACGTTTCACCCCAAGAATCATTGAATTTCGTGGTGATTTCGCGAAGAACACCCCTACGGGTGCCGCGACTTTTTTGTCTAAATTCTTCAAATTTTGAAATGTTTTCTTTCAATTACTAACACCATTAACATTCCTTTAGGACCTAGAACAAATCCCAAGAGGTAGTAGAGGCGTTGGAACAATTTTGAAGGTCGAATTGGAAACACCCAATTCTAGGGTTCTTCACGGTTTTGGTGAAATTGAAGCACTTCCAGGCCAAATTGGCCTTGGACACAGGTATGAAAGTTGTTCTACTCATTGAGATCTTCAAATCTGCAAATTTTGGTAATTTTTCGAAATAGTTGAATTTTCCGGCGAGCCGGGGCGGCCAACCGCCACCCGCGGCGGCGCGTGTCCAATGGCCCGCCAATGTCATTATTAGCATGTGTTTAAGGTTCTAGGTTCAGTTTTGATAATTGAGGGATGTAAATTGAATAATTGAACCTAAGTTGGTTACGATTCGTGGTTAGATGAAAATATGAATTGACGATCCGACCGTTGGATCGTCACCAAACTTTGATACGTTGTAATACGTAATATTTGAGGATTATAGGAACTTACGGATTGGGAATCCGATTTACGGATCTTCCGGAATTGGAGTTGTAAGTTCATAAAATAGAATGTTAACCGTCACTTAGTTTTGGAAATTGACGGAGATCCGACCGTTGGATGGTAATGAAATTTTAGGATATTGTCCTAGAGGTATATTGTGGACCTCTGAAAGTTATGGATTTGAAATCTGAGTTGCAGATCATCTGGATCGAACTACGTAGTGACGTGTCTTATATAAGTTATGTATTCTATCGGCATGATTTCTGAGGTTGGATTTGTTTATTGTTCTAGGCGCTAATCTTCATGACGCCTTGATGTACGGTGCTAGGGAGTTGTTGGGCGAACTCCAGGTGAGTGGGCAGTATTTCTGTTAATACCTATATACTATTGATATTTTTCCCAGAAATTGAGTTTGAATGAAAATACGTTTTTAAATGCCATGCATGCATAATATGTGATATGTGAATTGATAACTGATGCATATATATATGTGAATTGGCGCGGAGGACGCACATGTGAGTCTTATTATTATTCAGATGAGTTATTTTATATGAATTGCATTGAAAGCTCATAACATGCCCCTAGGTGTTAGTGCTTATATTATTATTCACCACACCGCACGCTCGCCTTGGATCCAAGTAGGTGGATGTCGTACAGACCATGTGAGGGTTCCGACATGCCAGTCGTACAGACCATTAGAGGGGTTCCGACTGGTGGGTGACCTTAGATATGCACGCTGATGATTGATGTGAGAAGCACTAGAGCGTATTTATACACCTGTCATCGTACAAACTATCTTATGTAGTTCCGAGTGACGTGCAGAGTTAGACCGTACAGGTCACCGAGGTGACTCCGGTTGGATTGGATGTTGAGCTTTAGAATCAGCCGTACAGGACCACTTGAGGGTCTCCGGTTGATTTATTTTCACCTGATTTATATTGATGCATTCTGATTATGTTTTTGACACTTGGCATGGCATATTTTTTTGAAAAGTGTTAAAGGATTGTGATTTGAGATTTTTCTTATATATATGCTATTTTCTGGTAAAGTATACAGGTTTTACAGCGAGGGGTTAGAAATGTTTTAAATGAAAAGTTTTCAAAAAACTTTGTTTTACTGACCCACTCAATTTTGTTTTGCGCCCCTCCAGGTCCTAGATAGCAGAGCTTTGGTGGCCACGAGGAATCCAACGGTGTTCTGACAGAATTCACAAAAGTAGGACTCACCCTCGGGGGTTTCCATTTAGTAATTGTATTTTAAGAGCTTCCGAACTATGTAAATGGTTACGTCACTCTCACGTGACGGCCAGCACGCCCTCCTTCGGGACGGGGTGTGTCAACCATGGCATGACAGAAAACATGAAACAATGAGTAAGATCAAAATATAATTTATTAATTACATTTTGATTTTTAATTATTATTATTTTTCTTTCTAATTTTAATGTATTAATTTTATTTCATTATAATTTTCATTTTCATTTCATTTATCGTGATATATTTTGTTGTAAACATTTAGATAAATTAATTTTTGTTATACAATATATTTCGATATACTTTTTCTTCTTCATTTAGGTACATTAAATTCATTATAATACATTTTGGTGCATACATTTAAGTACACATTTCGATACAAACATTTAGGTGCATTAATTCAATATAATACATTTCGATGCATATATTTCAGTACATATGTCACAGCCCGTCCCAGAATTACTAAATACCGAGGACGTGAAATTACAGAAACGCCCTTAAACGGGATTAAGGTGCGTAAATTTGGTATTTGTTTTACACTAAGATCCTAAACTAGGGTTAGAATTATATTAGTATGTGTTAATTTAATTTGTGTTTGGACTTAGGGTGGGGTCCTACCCCCTAAATCCCTCCCCAAAACCCGTTTTTGTTGTCTCTCTCATCTCCCTAGTCACTCTCTTTCTCTTTCTTCATTTCAGAAACACTCATTCCCTCTCTCTTACTCTCATTCTCTCTCAAACTCTCGGACAAACACCCAAGACCTTGAAAACTTCACAAGTTAAGGTTGAGGAAGGTAGCATCGTGTTCGTAAGGACCATACGAACACATTGATATTATTTTCAGGTAAGATTTCCCACGATTCCATGTAGAAAACTTAAGCTCCGAAATTGCTACTGTTCATGAACTTAAATTTCGTTGTGTTTTAGGCTAAAGCAAGATCACCACGAGTCTTAGGAAGTCCTAAGGAGGCTCGGAGTGCCTCGTTTGAACAAAATGGACGTCGGGATCGTTGGGTTCGAGTTTGGCCGAATTTGAGGAATTTTGGAAGGTATGATCTAGTTGTTTTTAGGCCCTAAAACCCTTCCAACGTGATAGTACATGTTAAATGCTTCATTTTGGTATAAAATTCGAAGAAATTGGTTGAAAAACGAAGGAGAATAGTGGATTTGAAATTTTTCCAGAAACCGGCGACTCGCCGGAGAAGACAGGGAATCTTCCGTCAAGTTTGACGGAATATTCCGACGCCGTTAGTTAACTTTAACGGAAACCGTTAGTTTTTAACGGAATATACTAGGATTTGACGGAATATTCTCTAACGCCGTTCACTGTAGCCGTCAGTGTGCATGTCACGTGGCCGCGCGTGGGCCGCGCGTAGGTCCGTGCCACGTCAGGCGCGTGGGGGCGCGTGAGACCTACAAAAATTATTTTAAAAATTTGGGAGTGATCCTGAGGTTGTGTAGGTCACTGTGGTATATTCATATACCCAATTTGAGCATCGTATGAAGAATTAATTACCTAGTTTGGTTTAGGTGCGTTAAATGTGCGTTAAATGATTGTTTTAAGTTATTTCACTTCTAGGTGGAACTTTTAACGAGGACGAGCACATCCAGGGGCGTCAAGGGGGTTACGACCCGGCGACATACCAGTGAGTGGGCATTGCTTTCTATATATATACCTATATACTCGATTTCCCCAGAAATCAAATTTAAATGAAAAGTATATTGAAATGAAATATGATGTGATTGCCATGCATAGAATATTATGGATATTATGAACTGTCGTATGATGCATATATGTATGATGGTGCTGTGGAAGCACAGGTAAGTATTTAATTAATATTATGATGATGATGATGATATATTGAGCTCATATCCTGCACCATGGTTTAGTGCTTATAGTATTCACCGCATCGCACGCTCGCCTTGGATCCAAGTAGATGCTGGTCGTACAGTCCACGCGGAGTGGGTACGACGGGCCAGTCGTAGAGTGTTAGTGAGATTATGACTGGTGGGTGACCTTAGGTTATTGTATACAGATGATTGATGAGAGAAGCACTAGAGCGAATATTACCATGAGTCGTTCAGACTACATTAGGTGGTTCCGACTTATGTGCAGAAGGCCGGACAGGTCACGCGGAGTGACTCCGGCAGAGAGTGAGATTGATAGATGTTGAGCTCTAGGTTCAATCGTTCAGGGCTATTAGAGGGCCTCCGATTGATTATTTCTTTTACCTGATTATATTATGTTAATGCATTCATACTAAACTGTTGAAATTGGCATGGTACATTCTTTATTGAATCTGTTATAAGATTGATGATTGAGACAGTTGAGATATATATATGCTATATATACTATTTTTCTGGGAAAGTATACAGGTTTTCCAAAAAGGGGTTATAAATGTGGATTTATGAAATGATTTGGAAAAGCTTATTTTCGCCCACTCACGTTTTCTGTTTTTCGCCCCTCCAGGTTCTAGTTGATAGTTGAGGCGTTGGTGGCCTACGAGGACTGCTTCGGCGTTCTGACAGACTAAATAAATGTAGGATTCACCCGAGGGTGTTGTAAATTAGTTATGTTCCTACTTGACTGCACCTAGATGCTTATGCTCTGTTTATGTGTGTTTAGTACACTCTTATGCACATAGAATGCTAGGTTGTAAATAACTGAAATTAGTGGTTTTCGTTGACTCGTATTTTGTTATTAAATCGTTTCCGCTTGCGTTATGGTTACGTCACACTCACGTGACGGCCAGCACGTCCTAGTCTTCGGGTTAGGGTGTGTCAGTTTGGTATCAGAGCATAGGTTGCAGTCCTATATAACTAATGAGTTCTTCTATTGATTTTGTTATGTTTTCTGTCAGAATTATGCCGCCTCGTAGAGATCCTCGCCGTGCTGCTGAGCCTAATTTCCCCGATATAACTCAGTTAGGGGCAGCAATGGCTCAAGCTTTTCAGGCTAATATCCGTCCTCCTCAGAGAACGCCCGTAGAGACGATGTATAATATGAAATTGGAAACTTTTGAGGGAAATGAAGGTTATGAAGGGGCAGAAAAGTGGTTGGATCGAATTGAGCAGACCTTTCAAGTGATGCAAAGTCAGGGAAACCTGCCAGCTAATAGATGGGTGGAGACTACCACCTGGTTTTTGGGCCGTGAGCCAGCTGCGTGGTGGATAAATCAGTCGAGGCACATGGCACCTGAAAGGGCAGCCGAATGGGAGGTATTTAAGGAAAATTTTATGAAGAGATTTGTTCCTCCGGAATATATAGATCGCAAGAAACAGGAATTCACCAGTCTGAAGCAGAAATATGTCTGCACATGAGTACTACAGGAAGTTTACTGATTTATCCCGTTATGATTCTGATTTAGCGGGTAATCAAGCAGAAATGCTTCATCGTTTCAAGCTAGGATCTAAGAAGAAGTACAGAACGTTTGCCAATGCACTTCCCTGTGCCGATTATCATGAGTATTTTGAGATTCTGGTCCGGATGGAAGACTCTGATAATCTTCCGGACAGTGAGGATGAAGAGGATAAGGGTAATGGTCAGAAGAAAAATGAGAAAGGTAAAGGTGTTTCCATTCCAGGACCTCGTCAAATGCAGAATTTCAAGAAAAGTGGAATGAGTTCGAGTTCTTCCAGTGGTGGATTTAGTGCCACAGGTCCGAGGAGAGGAGGTGGTAGGTTTGGTAATGGACCTAGATTTTCTGGTCAGAGAGGCTTTAGTGGTGCTGGTAATTCGGGTTCTCCGTTATGTCGCCGTTGTAATTTCCGACATCATGGGGAATGTAGGAGAAGCAGTGGTGCATGCTTTACATGTGGTCAGACAGGACATAGAGCTATGTATTGTCCCCAGAATCAGCAGAGGCCCCAGCAGCCTGTTATGCCAACATCAGCACCGACTCAACAGAACTTTAATTCAGGCAGTTATGGCCAGGGTGGTCGTGGTGGTGCTTATCACTATCAGGGTGATGCTGCTCCTTATGCTCCGGGACAGTATCACTATTCCCAGGATCCTTATTTTCAGAGTGGATATTCTCAGGATCAAGGAGGTTATACTTCATATCCGTCTATGCCAGCTAGCGGATCTCAGTGGTATCAGGGGGGTCAGCCCCAACAGAGCGGAGTTGCTGCTAGTAGTACAGGGTCGTTTAGGCCGCCTGCCCAGGCAGGTCAAGGACGTACTCATCAGGGACGAGGTAACCAGAGTGGCAGAGGTCGTGGAGGATGACAGCCAGCTCAGGGACGTGTGAACCACATCTCGCTGCAAGATGCTCAGAACCATCCAGACTTGATTATGGGTACGTTGAATGTTCTTGGTCATTTTGCTAGAGTCTTGATTGATTGTGGTGCTACACACTCTGTGATTTCTCATACATTTGCTCAAATAACGCAACCTCATCCTTCACCTCTAGGGTTTGATTTAGAGTTTGCTATGCCTAGAGGGGATAAATGTTATGTTGATAGTTTTTACTCTGGGTGTCCAGTGATGGTAGATAATGTCATTATGCCTGTTAATCTTATCCCGTTAGACATCGTGGATTTTGATGTGATTTTAGGGGCGGATTGGTTGCATTATAATCGCGCCCATATAGATTGTTACGGGAAATCAGTTACTTTTCTTCGTCCTGGACTACCCGAGGTTACATTTGTGGGTGAAAGAAGTGGGGTGAGGCATGGTGTTATTTCAGCCATAAGGGCAAAGAAGTTGTTATCCAAGGGTTGTCAGGGATACTTGGCACATGTGGTGTTAAATGATGTTGATTCCGGTAGTGTGGAGGAAGTCGGAGTAGTCAGACACTATCCTGATGTATTTCCAGATGATTTACCTGGGTTGCCTCCAGATAGAGATGTGGAATTTTTCGATTGATTTGCTTCCAGGTACGAACCCTATCTCTTTGACTCCTTATAGAATGGCACCAGCGGAATTAAGAGAGTTGAAAATTCAATTGCAAGAGTTAATTGATAAAGGTTTCATTCAGCCTAGTTCTTCACCTTGGGGAGCTCCAGTGTTGTTTGTAAGAAAGAAAGATGGAACTTTGAGATTGTGCATTGATTACAGGCAATTGAATCGGGTGACGATTAAAAACCGTTATCCCTTACCTCGTATAGATGATTTGTTTGATCAGCTCAAAGGTGCCTGTGTGTTTTCTAAGATCGATTTGAGGTCTGGGTATTATCAATTAAAGATTAAAGATGAGGATGTTCATAAAACAGCTTTCAGGACTCGTTATGGGCATTATGAGTTTTTGGTGATGCCATTTGGATTAACGAACGCTCCTGCAGCTTTCATGAGATTGATGAATGAAGTATTCCAGGAATATCTTGACAAGTTTGTTATTGTTTTTATTGATGACATCCTGGTATATTCTAAGTCGGAATCAGACCATATTCGACATCTTAACTTGGTGTTAAGGAAATTGAGGGAACACCGGTTATATGCCAAATTTAGTAAATGTCAATTTTGGCTGGATCAAGTGGCATTTTTGGGACATGTGGTATCAGCTCAGGGAATTCAAGTGGATCCTCAAAAGATAGCAGCAGTGGAAAATTGGGAACAACCTCGAACGGTCACTGAGGTGCGGAGTTTTCTTGGTTTGGCAGGTTATTATAGACGGTTTGTTCAAGACTTTTCTATGATTGCCTTGCCATTAACGAAGTTAACCAGGAAGGATGTTAAGTTTGAATGGGATGAAAGTTGTGAGCAAAGTTTCCAGCAGTTGAAGTATTGCCTTACTCATGCACCTGTGTTAGTACTTCCTGATGATGATGGTAACTTCGAGATCTACAGTGATGCTTCTTTGAATGGTTTGGATTGTGTTTTGATGCAGCATAGTAGAGTGATTGCCTATGCTTCTAGGCAGTTGAAGACTCATGAAAGAAACTATCTGACTCACGATCTTGAGTTGGCAGCTATTGTGTTTGCTTTGAAGATTTGGAGACATTATCTCTATGGCGAGAAATGTAAGATCTTTACCGATCATAAAAGCCTTCAGTACCTTTTCACTCAGCATGATCTTAATCTTCGTCAGAGAAGATGGTTGGAATTGTTAAGTGATTATGATTGCACGATTGAGTACCATCCGGGTCGTGCAAATGTGGTAGCTGATGCTCTGAGTAGAAAACCTCAAGGGCGACTTAATGCTTTGTATGCCAGTCGTGTTCCTCTTCTGGCAGAGTTGAGATCTACTGGAGTAGAGTTAGAATTGGAAGAGCAAAATGAAGCTTTTCTTGCCAATTTTCAAGTCAAGCCAATTTTAATTGATCGGGTGCTTGCAGCTCAATCGTTGGATGAAGAAATTCAAGAATTGATCAATTTAAGAAATGAAGGGAAGAAGAAAGATCTCAAGATCCGAGGATCAGATGGTATGCTTATGCAAGAGAACAGGATGTATGTGCCTAATAATGAGGAACTGAAGAAAGAAATCTTGGATGAAGCACATTGTTCGGCTTATGCTATGCACCCAGGAGGAACTAAAATGTATCATACCATTCGACCATTCTATTATTGGCCGGGTATGAAGAGGGAGATTGCGGAGTATGTGATTAGGTGTATTGTCTGCCAGCAGGTTAAGGCTGAAAGAAAGAAGCCGTTTGGGAGATTGCAACCACTTCCCGTTCCCCAGTGGAAATGGGAGAATATAACGATGGATTTTGTGTATAAGCTGCCACGTACACAAAATGGTTTTGATGGCATTTGGGTGGTTGTAGATCGACTTACCAAATCAGCACATTTTATTCCAGTAAGGGAGAAATACTCTTTAAATAAGTTGGCTCAGTTATTCCTATCGAAGATTGTAAAGTATCATGGTGTCCCAGTGAATATTATTTCTGATCGAGATCCAAGATTTACTTCTAAGTTTTGGATAGCTTTTCAAGAAGCTTTGGGTACTAGATTGCTTTACAGTACAGCTTATCATCCACAGACAGATGGTCAGTCAGAGAGAACTATTCAGACACTCGAGGATATGTTGAGATCCTCTGTGATGCAATTTGGTGATTCTTGGCATGATCGCTTGGATTTGATGGAGTTTGCCTACAATAATAGTTTTCATTCGAGTATTGGAATGTCTCCATTTGAAGCACTTTATGGTAAAGCTTGTCGTACGCCATTATGTTGGTCAGAGGTTGGTGAAAGAATACTTGAAGGGCCAGAGATTGTGGATGAGACTACTCAGAATATTCAGGTAATTAAATCTAACCTGAAAGTGGCCCAGGATAGACAAAAGAGCCTAGCGGATCGACATACCACGGACAGAATGTATAATGTGGGCGACTATGTTTTTCTGAAAATTATCGCCTTGGAGAGGGTGGTTCGCTTTGGAAAGAAAGGAAAGCTAAGTCCCAGGTACATTGGACCTTATGAGATCACTGAGAGGATTGGTGAAGTTGCTTACAGGTTGGAGCTACCTCCAGAGTTGTCTAAGGTACATAATGTGTTCCATGTCTCGATGCTTCGGCATTATGTGTCAGATCCTTCACATGTGATTCCTCCTCAACCATTGGAAATTAATCCGGATTTGACGTATGATGAGAAACCAGTGACTATACTGGATTGGAAAGATAAGACTTTGAGGAATAAGACCGTGAGCTTGGTAAAAGTATTGTGGAGAAACCATTCAGCTGAAGAAGCTACATGGGAAACAGAAGAACGAATGAGAGATATGTATCCGAGGTTATTCTATGACTTTTGATGTTCTGGTTAGTGATTGGAATTTCGGGGACGAAATTCTATAAGGAGGGGAGATTGTCACAGCCCGTCCCAGAATTACTAAATACCGAGGACGTGAAATTACAGAAACGCCCTTAAACGGGATTAAGGTGCGTAAATTTGGTATTTTGTTTTACACTAAGATCCTAAACTAGGGTTAGAATTATATTAGTATGTGTTAATTTTAATTTGTGTTTGGACTTAGGGTGGGGTCCTACCCCCTAAATCCCTCCCCAAAACCCGTTTTTGTTGTCTCTCTCATCTCCCTAGTCACTCTCTTTCTCTTTCTTCATTTCAGAAACACTCATTCCCTCTCTCTTACTCTCATTCTCTCTCAAACTCTCGGACAAACACCCAAGACCTTGAAAACTTCACAAGTTAAGGTTGAGGAAGGTAGCATCGTGTTCGTAAGGACCATACGAACACATTGATATTATTTTCAGGTAAGATTTCCCACGATTCCATGTAGAAAACTTAAGCTCCGAAATTGCTACTGTTCATGAACTTAAATTTCGTTGTGTTTTAGGCTAAAGCAAGATCACCACGAGTCTTAGGAAGTCCTAAGGAGGCTCGGAGTGCCTCGTTTGAACAAAATGGACGTCGGGATCGTTGGGTTCGAGTTTGGCCGAATTTGAGGAATTTTGGAAGGTATGATCTAGTTGTTTTTAGGCCCTAAAACCCTTCCAACGTGATAGTACATGTTAAATGCTTCATTTTGGTATAAAATTCGAAGAAATTGGTTGAAAAACGAAGGAGAATAGTGGATTTGAAATTTTTCCAGAAACCGGCGACTCGCCGGAGAAGACAGGGAATCTTCCGTCAAGTTTGACGGAATATTCCGACGCCGTTAGTTAACTTTAACGGAAACCGTTAGTTTTTAACGGAATATACTAGGATTTGACGGAATATTCTCTAACGCCGTTCACTGTAGCCGTCAGTGTGCATGTCACGTGGCCGCGCATGGGCCGCGCGTAGGTCCGTGCCACGTCAGGCGCGTGGGGGCGCGTGAGACCTACAAAAATTATTTTAAAAATTTGGGAGTGATCCTGAGGTTGTGTAGGTCACTGTGGTATATTCATATACCCAATTTGAGCATCGTATGAAGAATTAATTACCTAGTTTGGTTTAGGTGCGTTAAATGTGCGTTAAATGATTGTTTTAAGTTATTTCACTTCTAGGTGGAACTTTTAACGAGGACGAGCACATCCAGGGGCGTCAAGGGGGTTACGACCCGGCGACATACCAGTGAGTGGGCATTGCTTTCTATATATATACCTATATACTCGATTTCCCCAGAAATCAAATTTAAATGAAAAGTATATTGAAATGAAATATGATGTGATTGCCATGCATAGAATATTATGGATATTATGAACTGTCGTATGATGCATATATGTATGATGGTGTTGTGGAAGCACAGGTAAGTATTTAATTAATATTATGATGATGATGATGATATATTGAGCTCATATCCTGCACCATGGTTTAGTGCTTATAGTATTCACCGCATCGCACGCTCGCCTTGGATCCAAGTAGATGCTGGTCGTACAGTCCACGCGGAGTGGGTACGACGGGCCAGTCGTAGAGTGTTAGTGAGATTATGACTGGTGGGTGACCTTAGGTTATTATATACAGATGATTGATGAGAGAAGCACTAGAGCGAATATTACCATGAGTCGTTCAGACTACATTAGGTGGTTCCGACTTATGTGCAGAAGGCCGGACAGGTCACGCGGAGTGACTCCGGCAGAGAGTGAGATTGATAGATGTTGAGCTCTAGGTTCAATCGTTCAGGGCTATTAGAGGGCCTCCGATTGATTATTTCTTTTTACCTGATTATATTATGTTAATGCATTCATACTAAACTGTTGAAATTGGCATGGTACATTCTTTATTGAATCTGTTATAAGATTGATGATTGAGACAGTTGAGATATATATATGCTATATACTATTTTTCTGGGAAAGTATACAGGTTTTCCAAAAAGGGGTTATAAATGTGGATTTATGAAATGATTTGGAAAAGCTTATTTTCGCCCACTCACGTTTTCTGTTTTTCGCCCCTCCAGGTTCTAGTTGATAGTTGAGGCGTTGGTGGCCTACGAGGACTGCTTCGGCGTTCTGACAGACTAAATAAATGTAGGATTCACCCGAGGGTGTTGTAAATTAGTTATGTTCCTACTTGACTGCACCTAGATGCTTATGCTCTGTTTATGTGTGTTTAGTACACTCTTATGCACATAGAATGCTAGGTTGTAAATAACTGAAATTAGTGGTTTTCGTTGACTCGTATTTTGTTATTAAATTGTTTCCGCTTGCGTTATGGTTACGTCACACTCACGTGACGGCCAGCACGTCCTAGTCTTCGGGTTAGGGTGTGTCAACATACATTTCGGTACTAACGTCTAAATACATTAGTTCAATATAATACATTTTGGTACTGTCATTTAGGTACATTAATTGAGTCTTTCAAGTTTGAAGAATGTTAAACAAAATTAAAAAATTAAAAAATAAATTAGTAAAAAAATAAATTAAAATTTGTATATTAATAAATTTAAATATTTAATGGGTAGACATTAAATAAAATGCACATTAATTATTTTGAATTAAGGACACTTCAAGGGACTATAATCAATATGTAATCTAACATCAGATTTTTTTTTTAAATTTCAATATTCTTGAATGATTAAAGTTAAAAAACCCCAAGGAGACTTTGGATGCGATCCCTATCTATCAATATTCTTTGACTGAAACCTTGTTGGTTTTCAATTTTTGATCGAAGTCCCTGAAATTAATGTGATAATTTATTTCTATTTATGTTACTATATTTTTAAATTAAAAATTTGAAATTTATAGTTGTTTAATTATGTTAATGAGATTTTAAATAAAAACCCATAATTTGTGGGATTAAAAATATTAAATTTCTTCGATAAAACTTGACATAGATACATTCTCAAATCAAAGAAAAACAATGTACCCATATAAGTTTAAAATGGATTAGAAAAAAAATTGAATTGATTTTATATTAAAAAAATTGGTACATTTTACATATAACAAATTGGTATATTTAAGAATGGGTACATTTTAAGATTAAAAATTTGAAAAAAATTTACATGAATGGGTACATATAAAATTAAAAAATTGAAAACATTTTTTAAAAAGCTAATGGGTACAAACTTTTTCTAATTTTCTATTTATTTTGGAGATGTTTTGGATTAAAAATCAGTTAGGAATTTAATAAAGGTGTGAGTATTAAAATTCTAAATCAATTATTAATTTTTATTTAAAAAAATTATGTAACTGACATGTAAATTCATTATTATATTAATGTTAGGGACTTGGATCAAAATCTGAAGACTAATAAGATTTCAGTCAATAAACATTAATAATTAGGAACCAGATACTAATTTTTTCTTATATCTTTGTATAAAAAAAAAAATTCTATGAATAAAAATACGAGATAATTGGAGCAATGGTCCATGGATTTTAACTCAATTGGCGTTTTGATCCCTGAATTAAAATTCGTAATTATTGACCTCTGAATTTACTATAATGTGGAGCAATGGTTATTTTGGCTAACTCTGTTTTTCCCATTTTAAACCCTTTATTTTGGATATAGAATCTAGTAGAATTAAGCAAAAAGAACATTGCTCCACATTATAATAAATTCAGAGACCAATACTCACGAATTTTTTGATTCAAAGATCAAAATTCCAAGTTGGCCAAAAGCCAAGAATTATTGCTCCAATTTTCTCATCAAATTACTCCTCGACTGTTGGTTTGTAAAATTATTCTTTGCAAAATAAAAGATGATTGTTATTGACACTTCAAAATTCTTATTTTGTACTCTAAACTTTCTCTATCTTTGAAGTGTCAACAATGATTCGCAAATAAAATTGTCATCAAAATGGTAAAACAAATCAACCGAAATAAGAATAACACTGCTCTCTTCTGGGGGCGTCCTCGGCGTTGTATGCTTGCGGAAACAAGCTAAAACTGAAATTTAGTTGTATATGCTTGCAGGAGCAGGAAGATTTTTCATCGCAAAAGATAACTAGTGTAGACTTGAATGTCACATGTTGTTGAGTTTTTTACCATGCTGTGCACATCCGCGATGGTGCATATGGTTCTCTAAACTAAAGAGAGTAAAAATTTTCTGTCTTAATTTACCTGCAGGGTTAAGTAAAAGAAGGAGGAATGCCTCCTAGTTCCAGACAAGTTAGCAGTGCAATTTGTCGACCTCAGGACCAATGTCGTTTCGCCATTTTAACCTCGAAAAACGTAAATAATGTATAAAATGGTTTTAAAACATGGTTTCTCTAACTTTTTTTTTTTAACAATCGATATTATCTACATTAAAGAGAGGGGGTAAGCTTAGTCTCACAATGGACTAGTAATAATGTGATTCAAATTCATCTTTGGCGATAATCGAACCGAATGCCTCTTATTTACCAGTGAAAAGGAATATCACTAGATCGTAATACTAAATAACTCCCTAACATTTTTATCTAATAAATGAATCTCAATATTTCCGTAAATTCGTAAATTGTACACCGTGGGAAGAAACTGCACATTTGCATATGGGAGGAAACTGCACATTTGGCTTTGCAACTTTCTGTCGAACTTACATGTGGAGATGATTATCTTGATAACTGTTCAGAATAGATGTGGTAATGGGCTTTTGGACATTTGGTTACATTTTTTTCATTTGTTTGAAGCAAGGTCATACTGTATTTGTCGAATAAATTAAAGTTATTGTGACAGCTTTCCCTTGGTGTTTGGTGCGAAACTCGACTCAACTACGTGAGAGATTTTTTATTGAGCTGAAAACACGATCCGGTATATCAAGTGTTGTAATATTCCAACCTCTTGTATTTTGACACTTTATATCGAGCCGTGTTCCTGACATGCTGAAAAATTTCCCCAACTATGGAGTAATGGAGACATTTTTTTAACTACACTTTTAAAAAAACTATGATCTCATCATTGCTTTTTCTTCTAACTTCTACCTCTTCACTTGTAAATTGTAAATGAGAGGTACGAAGTTAAATTCATGTAGCAATTCAATATCAATTTATTTTTTCTCCTAGTTGAATATATCATTGTATAAAAAAGACAAACCGGAGCTTTGATCATTCATCTATACGGGATTAAGTGTTGACAGAGCTTCATGATATGTTAACAACTAATATGTTTCTGCTCCACAATCTGTCTCATAATCTTAACCGATAATTTTTTAGATTATCATTAAAATATTAGTTATTTTGTGGAATGAACACAAACAAATGGTTAGCACCGTATATTTTATTTTTTTTATACAAGTGATTATCACTTTATCAAGTTACTAATTTGTTAGCAGTTGAGCGTCTCTCGATAAAGTTATATTAATAAAAAAATTTAGGGTGGATTCAAGAACCGCATTACAATACCAAACCCGACCCGATACCCATTTTCCTTCAGGTTCTCCTATTAAGATTTGGTTTAATTGTAATTGATTTAGGAATCTTGTATTTTCCTTTATTGTCTCATTGACTTGGAGTAGTCCCCAAGTCTTGTAAATTGCCTTGTATAGACTCCTATTCCCTGTATAAGTTTGGCTTTGCAGCCACATCAATGACATATGAAATTCCAATTCTACACCTCCCTCCACATGGTCGGGGCCCGAAGACTGTTGCCAACCTAGACTAGATACTAGTTTATGCATGTAAAGTATTAAAACACGTAGGGCAGCAGTTTGTGCTCGTTTTGTGCAACATGTGATCAGATACTCTATTGTATAATTAAAAAGTTCAATTAGCAGGTCTTCGTATTAATCTTTAATTATAGGTTGACCAAGCCACTCGCACTCCTCCTGGGTTCCACTCGGACTTATCTGTTAATTCTGAGTTCGTACTTCACAAGGCAATACGGACTCATCTGTTAATTCCAAGTCCGTATTTCACAAGGATCATCCTGAGTTCGATTTCTAGCATCACACGATTATGGCTAAAGAGAAGTTTGTCATGACTTCGCCACCAACAAACCTTTTTATTTTTTTACAAAAAAATGAAAAATAAAAAAAATAAACATGCTGTCTTCTTCTTCTTTTTTCTTTTTTTTTTTCTTTTTTTTTTAACATAAATAAAATGTTTATATATATTAAACATAATTAAAATGCCCCGTAACAGACTTGGAGTGCAGTTTTTGTCCGGCTGTTGATGAACCGTTGTTTCACTTTCAAGTGGGATATCAACTGCCGTTAAATTAGATCAAGGCTCTAGCCAGCCAGTGGCGACCCTTCTTTTTTTTTTGGGTCGAGGAAAACATATTCATTAAAGGAAACCTCCTGTTGACCCTAAAAACTACAAAGCCTACGTGGCGCGCAGGCCGAGTAATTAATGAGCTAACTACGTCCTTCGGTGAATGCGGGGCGTCGTCGGCCGAGCTCAGCCGAGGAGTAAATTTGTTGATGTTGCGTTGGGTCGCGCTACTGACTTCTGCGTCTTGCGATTGCGGCCGAGAAAGGAACACGTCTCGGCCTCTTGGGCTCTCGAACCTGAAGACAAGGTTACTATTCTTACGAAGTTCAAAATCAAATTCGGCTTTCAATGTGCCGAATGTAATAACTGTAACACCTCACTTCGCCGAGAAGGATGATGAGATGACCTCGACCAATAAGGATTTAGAAACCCTTCTCGACCGAGACTTGGATAGGTAATCAATCGTTCTCGCCGCAGTGCTGTTGATGCCAACGGAAGATACTGCGAGACCGACTGACTCTACGGTGACAGAGCTATCTATGCCGACTTAAGATATCACCGGTTGCTTCCACAGTGCTGTTGATGCCAACGGAAGATGTGTCAGCGAAAAAGGAAAAAGAAAAATCACAAGTTGTGAGAGTTTGCGCAGGGCAATTTTGTATTGATTTGTAGGGCTCCTCTCGTTGTACATCGTCTTGTATTTATAGGACTGGATATGCATGTGCTCTTCGTGAAGTATTCTTTGCTGACCATAGTTGAATTCCCTTGAAGATAATCACCTCATTTGAAAATCCATGATAATCATCCTTAAATTGGCCATTGGATTTGATGATAATCCTGATCCTTGTCTG